AAACAGTTATCAAAACCGTGATTTATTTGTACTCACAAGGCAACAAAAGCCTAACTAGACAGAATATCAATAAATCTGTCACAGACAAGCAATTCTATAAATGAAAAATAAACGAACTCCACGTGAAATAAATTTTTTGTAAGTTTTTTTTTCTGTTATTAGCACTCAAATAAGAAAATGCTTGTCATCTTGGGAAGAAGTAATCATTTATTTTAAAATTTATTCGCAAACAAACCAATAGATAGTAATCAGTGATCAATAAATGTAACTATATAACAAAGAGAAAGTAAAGAATAGTTTGAAAGAAAAATAAAACAAAAATAAACTAATTCCTGAAATCCGACAAATTTGTGAACGAATTTCTTCTCCTTTTCTTCCGGTATGCGACGATATTGAGGAAGATGCAAAAGGACAACGTTAACCATGAAAATTTAACTTTAAAAGAGGCACCGCAAAAAGATCGCAAACTATAAATGACCTATATTGGATGAATTTTTTTAAAACAGATGTCTTTGGTGATTTAACATTACCTTGTTGGTTTAACCCCACGGTACCCACGGCTTCCTTCAGAGAGTTAGACAATCCCTATAAGCTAGGGGCCTAAACCACACTGGAGAATCTAGACATGTTAATTTTGCGTGGCTCAAGAATCCCACCCTGGTAAATTTTCAGGTCTATTATTAGGTCTAATTTTTCGCCTTTGGAATGATAGAAACGAATACCACCACGATACCCTCCAAGGTCCGAACCCAGTAATCAGGACTCACACATTGGTTAACTGCCGCGTTCAAACTGGGGATTGGACATACAAGCTTCCACTGCGGTTTCCACATGTATGTAAGAATGCAAGCTTCGCCCCGGAGGATCTTGGCAAGCACCAATCTGCAGTAAGCTCTACTCGTAGGTATTCGTGAGTTTGTAAGTGAGCTCCTGACACTCGTGGAGCTTTAAGCTAGCCTTCAAAGTCTTACTTTACTTGACATAGTCACTCTTGTCTTCGGATTAACCACAAAATCCCGGCTAGACAAAGCTGGACTACCCTTCTTCAAGACATATTAGCATCGGGCGTTACGTCTGACATGGCGGGCGGTACCATGCTCTCGACTATTACTATATCAACGTATTTTACGTAACCAGTTACCAGCTGGTTAGGTTAGTATCTCCTTCTAAGCAATCGTCTATAAGAAAAGAGTGCTTCTTCCAGTGTACCCCTAAGTTATCTTTCAGAAAACTTGTTGCCAAGTTATAGATAGTCCAACCATAAAACTTTTTTTAGCCGGTCAATATCGTTTCTAGAGACCCACCACGAGGAGGTGAGAGCTTCGGCACATCTATGTTCCCCTCAAAAGAATAGTTTATCATCCCAGCTTATAGCTGCAAAGAAAAGTGTACAGTGGACGACATGCATTCTTACTGAGCGCTCATTGTTGCCAAATGGAAACCCAACTTCTGCTAACGCTCGCAGTAAAGTGCCGCAGCTAATAGAAAACAAGCGATTTTGGGACAAATCATAATTTTATAAATAAGAACAACCCTGAATACTATATGAGTTAAGTTGACTTTGTATAAAGGATATAAAAAAGATACATTTTTAAAATAAACTACCATTCCTTAGATGATAATTAGTCCGTTTATTTTATATTATTATACAGCTCACTGACATCCGCACATTTCGCAATTGCGCTAAGGAAATAAGGCCTGATGCCCAGATACAGTTAGTTAGTTAGGTTACCCTGTCTTCCTTTACATAAGCTTCTGTGCTATAAATCTATTATTGGGCATCTTTTGCGAATGAGAACTTAGACGTGCATACGAACGATTTACTTTGTTTGAAAAATGGAATTGAATTGCATGTGTAAGACATAAATACGTATCGCCAACCCTTCGCAGTGTTAAAGCGAATGAAAATACGAGAGGTCGGAAACTCTTTTATTTAAACAACTGAACTTAAAGATTATTTATTCAAAAGCTTTAGAATATAGATTAGAAGCGGAACATCTTTAAGATACACACTCAAACAAATTACAACAAAACGGTCTCAGATGATAACTACATTGTTGCTATTTATATGCCTTAGATTGGAAACATTATTTAAGAATCAAAGCGAGCTCTGTTAACGTGTACATAGTATCGCGTCGTTCACATAGCAAGCAATGGTGCATATAGGCTAGCGAGGTATGCATTGAACTGACGTATAAAAGAAGTTCAAATCTAATAAAATTGTAATAACGAACAAAACATGCTACATGTTGTAAGCCTTAAGTTGAAAAGGAGGGCAGGATTAAGTTTACAATATGATAAAATGGTATTCTTCTTTGAAAGGTGTGTAAGCCTAGTGGAATTAAAAAGGACAGATTTAACAAAAAAATTTGAAATCCTATCGTTACATAATACAACGATCAATTCTTCTTCTTTCAATTCTGATTCCTTCGGGACTGAGTAAGAAAATATAAGATTTTTTAAAAATTATATATACATATATATGTTTTGCTATGCGAGCTGGAGGTAGAAATGTTTGAAAGATACTTCTGCTTACTGCTAGTAGCATGCATGATTCGCCATCTACGGCGCTTACCTGCAAAGACTATCGTCCGCACAGACTATGTCTACCACTCCCGCGGGACCACCATTAGGTATTGCTTCGAGGAGGCTGGTTTCAATTAGCACGTCCTATAATGAGGCCTTAGTGGAATACACTATTAGCTTTCATTCCCTTCTCCAGTCTCTCCACCCGCTGTCTTCCGAAGCGCCGTAATTCTTGGAGCACCGAGCGGCGAGTTGCCACGCTCGTATCTGTGCAGGTACTTCCGCAAGCAATCATAACCAGTCAGGAACTGGATGAGTAATTTACCTCGTCTTATAGCGTTTTGATACATCGCGTTATGTTTTGGGTCCGTCCTCTTTTCATTGATCTATCTACCATCCGGGTCAGAGGTTTTCCTGTCCTCAATTTTTTTGCAAGCGCTCATTAACTCTCCCGCAATAATGGCTGATGCTCATTCATTTTCCTTGCCGAAGAAATATACTACTCGCATAAGGCATTCTCTGCGGAAAGAATGTGGAATGTGGATACGTGATTTTCAGCGTTATCTGCCCTTTCGCTTTTTCCAGGTCGACTTTATTTGCCATACGCCATACATTAATATCCTCTTCCTAGCATGTACAATCGAAGCTTCTTTCTTTGCTGGCTCATACAGCTTTTTGAGATGACTGCGCAGGTTTTGTAGGGAGTCAACAGCTTCTTACAGTTTGCACTGCAGTTTACTGGCCTTTAAGCAGCTCTCAGCGTTATTTCTTCAGTCCACCAGTAACACGGCGATCCTCTTTTGTTTGTACTTCTTCTAGGCGTCGCCGCGCTGCAAACTTCTGTAAGCAGCTTTGCCAGTTTATGTTTAATTTGGCCAGCTGTGCTCTCATCACTCTTGTAGTAGTCTATAATAATGTTAAAAACGTACTCGTCGAAGAACGCATGTCTCCATTTTGCACCGCCTTCTTCCTCTGCCTTTCCCACCTTTAATATCCAGCAAGATGCCCTACTGATGGCGGCTCCCGTACTTCTCGCACATCTGAATCGATGTAAGCTTGCCTGTCCCTCTGATAACTGTCCATGCTCTTCTATGTTTAACTTAGAGATCAATTTAGCTCAATGAAGACTGTTTGGAACGGCATTTTCGACCACTTACCGTGTAATGCCTTACTTTGAAACGTCTTTTTATAACTAGCTGTGTTAAGCGAAGTAATTTCCATTATTTTCTATGTTTTAATTCGTTATTTTGATAAAATTAGAGGATTGTAGTGACACCACTCAAAATTAAAGGTTCTTTTATTTAATTGATTATTTTAAAGTCTATGGTCAGGTGTCTTATATAACTAATAATTTAATGCTAACTTAAGCGAATAATATAATTAAAATAGGTTATTGCTAGAATTACGAGTAATATGGGTTACAACTAAATTAGGCCATCTCAACTAGGTTAGGTGTCACATTTGAAAGGTAATAAAATGTAAACTTAGCAATAACTTGTAAAAGCGGTAGAGTGCGACAGATCGATAATGCTATAGGATATGAAAAGTGCGCCCATAACTGAATATAAGGCGTATGTAATACCTAGAAAAGCTTAAGATATACCCAAATATTTATTAGAATCATATTCAGAATCGAAGTAAGCTTGTCATTCCGTGTGATGTTTGTCCATATATGTTTATGTCCAAGCAATTTTTACAAAAATTTGACGAAATTCGGTGCACAGGTGTACTTTGACCTAAAAATGAATGCCACTGAAACCGGTTCGAATCGCTCCGCATGTTCGACCTCTCCAAAGAAACTGCAACTTTCAGAATTTCTCGACAAAAGTCGTGGAGTCTATTTTTTGCATACCATCAAAAATTGTCAAAAATTGTAAACCTTTATTTACCAAAGAGACCTAACTGTTGATTTTTAAGATTAAAAGCTGTTAATGCCATATTGCCACAAAATTTAAAGTGACCATATGTTAACCACATGAGTCGATTTCTTGGACTACACTCCATACGAGATTTCTCATCAATAGTAAGCCCTTTATGATGAAAATTGGTCCATACTAACGGTATAGCAAATATATTAACGGTAGGGTGATTGAAAACAATGTGTAATTTTTGGTGTATAATCACCAAAACGTGTAAATAACTGTACTAGGCGAAGTGGTGTAGTATATCTTCTGATCGTCCTTGCCCGCCTATAATGTTCTTACTTGTTTTTATATTATGAGTTCGCAGATAAAACAGGAGTAAAAAATCCAAGCCATCGATAACCGGCTCTCTTTGATATTGAGCATGCGCTTTCGCGCTCATATTGTTACGAAATTAACATGTTTGACAAAATGAAAGCGCATAAAATGTGCCGCATTTATTTATTTGTAAAGGGGATGGTCAAATTGTGGAGAATGTAACAAAAGCAAAAATTCACGTGCGACGCTTCATATGGTAGCGTCATAAATCAAAGACGCGTTATCCACTGAGCTGCTAATGCATAAATGTCGAAATCTGGCATGAGGGACGGTTAGTCAAACCGTAAAAGCCACATGTTTGTTTGCTTGTGGTCTGCTTTGAAGAGAGCAAAGTCAAACAAATATTTTTTACGTCCAGCAGAAGAAAGCACTTTCCTGTACTCCTGTAATTTAAGTAAATAATTTTACAGAATTATATAAGCGAATAATTTTATTTTTTGCGAGGAAATATATTATTAGAAAAACATGATATATAATTAAATCAAATAGATTTTGCGAAACCTGTGCATATTAACAGGGAAGTGCGGTTCGAATTATGAAGGTGTGGAAGTTCAGATTAATTTTAAAAAGTTAACCATTTGAATAATTTTTTTCATTTTTATTTTTTTTTCTTCTTTAATTTTTTAAATTACCTATTAAAATTAAATATCGTAGAATGAATGACATTAGCACACATACAATTCAATTCTCCCAACCCTCCTTATACCCTTAAACACTATTTTCTATAATATCTTTGAGGTCCCTTATTGTTTTGCTGCTGTTGAGCCAATAATAGGGGATAAGCATAGGCTGCCTGATAAAGTGAACAATCCGGGCATACGCCTGCATCTCCAGGTGGACCTCGTAGACCAGGTTCCCCTATATATAAAAAGATGTAGAATTATTAGGAAAAATAATACTGTCTTGAAAACAACCTGGTTTGCCAGTGTCGCCACGCTCGCCTGGTCTACCTGGTAGGCCGTCTACACCGCGTCCTTCGGACCCAGGTGGTCCAGGTGGACCCATAGGACCTACTCTGCCTTCTCCTGTGGAACCACGGTCGCCTTTCTGTCCTTCCGGCCCTGTAGGACCTGGGCGACCCTGTTCTCCTGGTAATCCTGGCATCCCAGGATAGCCCCGTTCGCCCTGAATTCCCTGAGGCCCCACTTCACCTATAAAAGCATAGATAGTTAGGAAATCCGCCTTAACTTTTGGTGACATTAATATCTACTATTTAAGATAAAAATAGGAAAATATTTCAGTTGGTTTTACGGAACTTTAAAATAAATTTTTTTATGTAACTTTAGTCAATATTAGCTGTAAGCACATTGTTTTGCAAATATTTTTATAGAATTGAGGAGAGAATTTTATGCATACTGCTCTCCTTTGGTAGTTAGGTCATATTTTCATTCAGAATCTAGATCCGATTAGAAAGTAGCAGAGTTAATATATTTCTATCGCATGAAGACCTATTTATCTCCTAGAATTGTGGAAAACACCGAATCAAGATCTTGGAGGATTAATGTTACCTTGTATGCCTGGCAAACCAGGATGGCTTGTTCCAGGCCTTCCTCGCGGGCCTGGTGGTCCCGTTAATGTGCTAGAAATCTCATTTATATAATCTATAAAAGTTATGAGCAACCTTAACCTTTTACTTCATTTAATTTGTTACTCAAAAGCTTACTATACCTCTCACGACAGCTGTACAAATCTCACGTATATCAGCTTCCCTAAAGTGATGATATTCCGTGCTTACACTCTCTGAATTGCTCATTGGTCCTGGGGGACCCGGCAGTCCGGGAGAGCCATTTAATCCTGGTAAGCCTCTTTCGCCTTTCTCACCCGGAATCCCTTGAAGACCAGCCGGACCTACAGAGAACAAAAAATATAGAAAGTTAAGCAATATTCCGTAGAGAAACGTCTAACCTCTCAATCCTAATCCGGGAGGCCCTTGAGGACCAGGAGCGCCATATAATCCGGCCTTACCAGGCTTTCCCGTTGAACCTACTTCGCCCTTTAAACCAGGTAATCCAGGCGGACCCGGTGGGCCATCGAAACCATGTAAACCCCTTTCCCCTTGTTCGCCTTTCGAACCAGGTAAACCTTCAAGATATTTTCTTTACATGCGATTCTTAATTCGTGCTAATTGTGTGCTTAGCTTTACCCACGCCCGGTGGCCCTTGAGGACCTGTTTGACCGCTTTCACCAGGAAGTCCAGGAAAGCCCATCGGCCCTACGTCGCCTCTTTCTCCCTTATCGCCCTTAGGACCTAATATATGGTAAGGTTCCACAACTGGTGAAGGTAAGCCAGGTAGGCCAACGGGACCCTAAATGAATAAAATTATGTAAGAAATTTCATATTAGCGCAGCACTTACTTCTGGTCCAGGTGGACCCGGTGGGCCCGATGGACATTGTTCGGGGCATACAAAATCATTCTTTGCAAGTAAATTTTGAGAAATATTAGAAGGTAGCCATGGTTGTTCGGTTGTCGTTGAGAAAAACTTCAACTCAAATGGTTCAGGGCGTGTTAACTCTTTACCAGCTTTCGCATACTGCGGTATTTCGTCACAACCGCTATAACTAGGCCTTTCAATATCACAGCTGAAAATCATCCATTGAAGATCAATCTAGGAAATCCTTGATTAAATACTTTGTCTTTTCATTAAATCCCTAACTTATTATGCTTACTGGTACGGTTTGCATTGTGCGTCGATTACGAGCGATTGTAAAAATACCGTTAGAAGCATCGATAGGGCCTCTGACTTCTAACGGAGCAATAAAGTTCCCGTCGTCGTTTGACATTGGTTTGCAATCGACCCATAAACGCACGCTATCCATTGAAACACCCAGCATCACTTTATGCCATAAAGAATCGAAAATCTAAAAAATAAAGCAAATCAATTAGAATAGCTGTCGACAACAATTTTGCAAAGCTTTCCGCACCTTAACTTCTTCAAATGTTACAGTTTGCACACTTCCATCATATTTGGGTAACGAGAATTCAATACTATTATCTAAAGGACTAACTGAGACACTCATCTGTGATTCGTACTGATGAGTACTTAACTCGAAAAGATAAAAATCATCCAATTCTTGCCCTTGAGAAAGACGGAAAGTACTCTCGAAAGAAAACTCATCAGGTATTCCTTTTGGGAAAGCACGCGATGACTCAATACTCATATTAGAATATTCCGTAATGTGATAAGCTAATTGGTAACTAGTTGAGCCTGCAATTGGTTGTACCTCTTGGTATTCGTAATGGTATTCATCAAAACGATACGCTGATATGATATCATACATGGTTAAGTCAGGATCGCCACGACGGATAATGTTACAAGGTCTAACGGGCACAAAATCAGCAGCGTCCTCCCCAGCATCTTCATCGTAGTAATCACGGATGGTATATCCTATAGGTAAACAAAACCGCAGTAATATAGCTTAAGTATAAGTAAAAGTACGAAAAAACATGTGAAATTAAAACAAGTTAGAGAATTATATTTGCTCGTGTTCGAATCTTTTTAACCATCATTTTTGCGAACGAGAAAATGTTTACAGAAATTTGGCAGAAACATTGAGAATTCTTGCTTGTAGGTGGGTGTTGAAAATGGGTCAAGTCGGTCAAAGCCCATGTTTTAGGATGTTTCCGGTTCTCAAAAGGAATAAAAAGTTATATTTTTGTTCATCGCTCATAAACCAATGCAGGTGAATGTATATTCTGTTGGGAGATGAGCAGATGGACATGTTTAGATACATTCCAAATTTGAAACTGGATAAGGATTTACGTACGTTAGTTAGCAAAATGAAACTTAAATTGTTATCAAGTAATAGTGCGCAGTCTAGACTTTTGAAAAGTGCATTGCTGTCGAATGCTAAAAACCAAGAAGATGTCCTGATGTACGTTATTTAAGATAACATATTTTTTTTAGGGAAATAGCATATTTGACGATATAAGTCTGCATACAAATTAACCTAATTCTGTACGAGACGAAATTTCCCAAAAATATTGAGAAGGCAATAAAAGGAAATAAAGATTTGCGATGCCTTACTAATATAAACGTACCTCATGCAGCTAGTGGCGTTTGAGGACAATCTTAAGAAATATTCTCAGGAAATACAATGAGGAAAGAAATTAAGAAAGCTACATGAAATTGGTGTTTGATAACGAATGTTGGAAAACTTTGTAATGGAATGAAAAGCCGAATCAGGTGAGTAAGAGCTCAATAAAGTGAAGTGTTGTGGAATGTAAACACTGTAGTTTCTGTTATAATATCTTTATAAATATTGTCTAAATTCATCACCCATATTTCTTCTTTGCCTAAAACATTGATTAAAGACGGATTTCATAATGGTTATCAATAACGTCACCCAAAAACACTACTTAAAATCTCTTCTCTTTTAAATGCTTGCTGAGTACACTGCAGTACAGACAAAAACCCTTGAAGGAAGGAAAAAATTAAAAAAAAAAACCATGTAGACCGTTTTTCTGCATTTGTAAAAATATCATAAAGCAGAAAGAAAGGTAGAAAGAAAGACTGCTTTCACTTGTAACCATAAAAAATGCACATGAATGTGTATGAAACGAAAACTCAAAATTGCAACTACAACACATACAGGAAAAGCAAAAAAGTAACAGTCGCAGCAATGAATATTTCAAAAATGTGCAGTATATGTAAAATTTAAAGAATTTAACAAATTTATCAATTGCTATAGATAGATATAGACATTAATATGAATTCCAAAGAAACCTAATAGGATAACGATATTCAGATACCTTATTGAGTTCAAATTAGAATATGAAGAAAATTTTTTGAACGCCGTCAGAAAATAACAACATCGGACTCAGCGCGCAAAGTATCTTGTATTTATCTTGGTCTCAGCGGCACGAAGCGTAAGTGGCACAGATTTGAATTAAAAAAATGTATTACTTACTCTAGACGACATTTACAGGCGACATTTGAGGCAATGCTATGCACCGCCTTGGAAAATCATATAACGAGAAAAACGCATATAAAGGTCCGTGTACTCACATACATCTACACAATTATTTCAGAGCCAAAAAATTTCTGTGCATTTTATAATATTGACACTCCTACAATCGTGCTTCTACATGTAAGTAAAGAATCACTTAAGACGAAAAAAATTGATTCTCTAAGAGATTCACAATGGTGTTACTACTTAGGTCAACTAAGTATTGAATTGAGTATTTCAGTAGTATCATAAAACGAATTAATTTTTAAAGGATGGCCACTTGTTGGTAGCTACATATATACGATTCAAAGCACTCGTACCTCGTCGTTGTGAGTGGTAATTTTGAATGATAAAGTACTTTAACTTTACAGCGCTATTGTATATATTTATATTCAGCATTCAGTGGTGGCTTATTATAATCGTCCATATTAGGTTGGTGGAAAAGTCATTACGTCATACGATGTCGCTTGGGATATAATAGCGCAATGGATAATTTGCGTTTGGTATTAGTTCGAAAACAGAGGGGAAGCATCAGGTGCTTGCAAACATGGATGCGACATGTTGAAAAGTGAAGTTTTAAATATTCCTAGCTACTAAAGAGATTGCCATTCATTGGCATACGACTGCTGATCAAAACAATAAGCATCCTTACATCTAAATATTTTACTTAAAATATGGGTGAGTTGTCCCGCCAGTCTATTATAAATTTTATCAAAGGGATACTTACGCTCGATTAATCCGAATTTTGAGACTGTTTTTATCACTAAGTTTATATATCTGTGGAAATTACTTGTTCACTAAATAATTTTTTTGCCCAATGCAATGTTGCAGGTATATGTTTATATCCGCTTGTCGATATTGCAGGGTGTGCGAAAAAAATGTGTACACACATTGCTGGATTGCAGATTAAGAGTACAAATTAAAGAAGACAGATGCAGAATTCGCGGGGTCACCGGAAATGTTCAAATTGATGCCCACATTGATCCAAGCATTGCTAATAACGCGAAGCAATGTCATAGCAAATGCAGCGAATTATTTCTTTAGGATCTTCGTTACGTTCTCTATCAGTTTCCACCTTCAACTGATTATCTATTGTCGGTTTTGTCAGACAAACTCGATCTTTGATGCGTGTCCACCAAAAAAAAATAAGGGGTCTGAGAAAAAATAAGTGGTGCAGCAGCCATTCGATGGGATCTTTTCACCCAACCCAACTGTTCGGAAGATTTCTATTGATATAAACTCTGGCGTCACCATGATAATGGGAAAGTGCTTCATCTTGCTGAAAATAATAGCCTTCCGCATCCTCAATCTGCTCACAAATATTTATCTTTCTATATGTATATATATCAATTTTAACCTATTAGAGTTCGTATACATTTTTTTTGCGACACTCTGTATTTGTTACTCACTAAGCTCTTGTGTATTGGAATGCATTATGCCAATAGCTTTATAAAGTATGTTAATACAGGCCAGATATAATAAAAATTCCGGGGAAAGAGATGGCTTAAAAGAAGAAAAATGTTGTGTCTTAAGAATGACGCATCTGCTTTCCGGTAATGTTTTCACTATGGCCAACTTAAGACGAACCTTTCAAGCATTCATCGTATTGACCATGGCCGTTATCTCTCACTTGTATTGGAAAAACTGCTCTGAAATTTTAAAAAAGTTTTATCTCTGAGCTGGTCTTCAGCAAACGAAGATTTTAGTAAAATGATTTCCTAAGCAAGAATTTTTCAGACGAGAGACCTATATCGACTTTAATGAACAGCGTATTGAATGGTCAATGAATTTTAACTCATCAATTCATTTATCCAATTTATTATTGTTGGGTCACAAAGTTTAGAAAAAATGATAGATTTCGATGCCTAAGCTTGGTACAGATTTCATAGTTTTGTCAATTATAACAGTGAGCCTGTAAATATTCCCTACAGGAGATACCTATTATTGATGACTTTGTAAACTGAACTATCATGTAATCACGTTTGTTTGATGAAATATCTTAAAACTAAATATAGAATATTTTTCCTACCGATCTTGCCTTATTATGTTGAAAAAGCAGTATAATCTACCCGTGATTCATTCCTCTCCTTGTAGTGTGTTTAAATGGAATCCTTAGAAACGTGGAGTTTATTTCTAACATAAAATTGAGATAAACATGAAGTTAGAATATCTGCTGAAACTGACGACAATTGCCAATGGAAACCAAAAAGGCCTAATTGTTTGCCAAATTAAATTTGTACAGTTATCCACATAATATTACCAAAAGCTGAATTTGAAGAATACGTATTTATGAGAGATAAGTACACAATGTGTGATATGTAAGATCGATATGTTCATTACATATTGTAATCATGTATTGTAAATGTCTGTTTGGTCGCTTTCGTTGTTCGCAAAATCGATTTTTTTTTACTGGATAAATAGACGCTTTAAGCCTATTACAATATGTGGAAAAAGTGTCTATATCTGGAAACAAGTTTTTACTTGACACATGGCCCCAAGAGTTTCAGAACGACCGCACATGTTAAATGATTCCATCCTGCGAACTTACATTCTAATGTCTTACCTATTGATTTCTAACTATTTTAATACACTGTCAGGTATCTTTAGAGCATGTTTCATTAAAAATCATCTTATATAAGCAAAAACATGTTAGTGTAGCTTTATCGAGACTACTATTGAATCTACATGAGGCTCAGAGCAACGGAAAAGTCGTCAGCGCTTCTGCCGGGAAATTCGACATATGTGATAAAGAGTTTGATGCTAATTGTAAGCTTTTTTACCGATTTTTCTATGATTTAGCGGCATGCAAAGGGCAAAGCAATTCTGTCTTTAGCATATGCGACAAGAGCGACCTATTCTAGCAGAAAATCTTTGCGGAAAAAGGTAGATGGAAGAACAGTTTTACGATTCTCGAATAGAAGACTAATAATAAAAAGTTTGGAATCAGTTAAATTCTTCATTTTTTCGTGTCCACAACGCATTTCAAAATCTTAAACGCGTTTTTGCAAAAACACGTCACAACTGCAACAATTTTAATTTTTTTTCTTCATTTCTTAATTATGTTTAAAATAACTTTTTGTACCCTACATCATTTGCAGCATAGGGTATATTAATGTAACACGGACGCAACATCCAGACAGGTTTAAGATGGATCGATTGAGGGATCATTTTCTGAATCATGTTCTCAACCGTTCTAAGCTTGTCTACCCGTATGATGTCTGCCCACGTATTTCTGTATTCAGCCTACACGTCGCCATTTTCGACGTATTTTAATAAAGTATGCTACACTAACATATTTGCAGATCAATGCTCGGATCGGACTACCTACTTCAACCACTTCCTATATAACACGCAATTTGAAAAATTCGTTATCTCAATAATTGAGCTAAGTGAAGTAGTGTAGAGAGAGATGTAATGAAGCGGCATCTCGCATTAGAGTTTGTTTACTTGCTAAATTGCAATCCATATGGAATTTTTGGGGACAAGCTATTTTAAACGTTATTTATTAGGGAAGAAATTAGAACCTTATAGTGAGACGAGGCCTACCAATATAGAGCCTATACCATTTCGTTTAGTACAGTTATTCACTTTTTCTTTTGTGATAATGTAGCAAATGTTGTACATTGTTTTCATGCAAAGGCACATTATTTTTATGGAAATTCTCTTATTGGAGGACGTCCAGAACACGACCTTGATCCATTTTTAACAGCCTTAATTTACTTCCAAAAAATTTTATTACTTTTCAATTTTCCCTATAGAAAACCAGAAATTCTCTGTATATAACGGATGGCTCCTCCTAATAATCTTGCGGATGTTAGGGTCTAAAAACAGACTGTGTTGTCCAAATGTACCACCCACCATAAAATATTAAAATCGTATAAAAAATTATAGTCGAGCTAGACCGACTATTAAATACCCTACATCACATTGTCTAACACAATTTTTATTTGTGCCTTGTTTCTATATAAAGGCATATCGATCGTGTGACTATCCATGGGGAGCGGGTTCAAAAGTCGACCAGAGGTAGTACAAATTTATCAACTTTATTGTCGAAGATCTTATCACTTTTACCTATTTTGCCCGTTATATGTTAAAAATTAGATTTCGTTGCCCTATGAGGTCTTACTTGTCATGAAAATCCTTATAGAGATAGGGATCCAAAAAATAGACCTAGATGGTCCAAATTTGGTACATTTAATTTCTTTTATGTTAAATTACTATGGTATGGCGATTTTCATCATGTAGTAGCGGGCTCAAAAGGCGACCAGAGGTAGTACAAATTTATCAACTTTTATTGTCGAAGATCATGTAGTATTAAATGGTAGACCTTTTTGTCATACGGACGTTAGTTGGTGGCTAGTTAGGCTATGGCCGGCTTAGTCCCTCAAATTAAACGTGACTTGTAAGAACACGTTCGACGTTGCCATATTTTAATATTTATCAAAAAGAATTTTTCTTTTAATACTTGTATATATATATATATATATATGTGCTCAATAATCCCCCCTTGTTTTCTTCCAAGTCGAAAAATTTCGCGAAGAAACGATGCTTCGTTTTAGGCTACTAGAGCAGTGTAGCCTCCTAACAGACTCGGCGTCAGCTAAATATAAATATTTTACTTATTGGATTCAAGGCTTTTTTCCAACTCATTACAAAATTGTAATCATCTCTTCGCAAGTATGATCGATAGCTTTTAATGTTTTATGCATAAAAGAGATGAAAAGAACATAAATTTTAATTTATTTTACAACACATACCGTTTTGTAATTTAACCGTTTGCGTTCCAATTATGTGATTGCTTAGAACTATTCCAATTAACAGAAAGGTTTTATATACAAAAAACATTTTTTTCTTTGTTTTTTTTTTTTTTTGGTCTTTCTGTTAACAATTTTGGAAAGCAAATATTTGTGATTTTTAATTAAAATTTTACTCCTTTTTTTAACAACACATTATTGCGATGTTCTAATAATACTTTTTTTCTAACTTTTAATAGTCTAATAAATTCTTACCGCTAACGTTCGTATCGAAATCAAAAATTCAACTGAATTCCAATAGCAAGAATCAACTAAATAAGAAACAATTTTTGATGAAAAGTTTTGAAATCATTATTATCTCTCTATAGCGCAATAGCAACAACAATATTAAAAAACAATAAATTTATTTGATATAAATTTTTGAATAAATTGTAGCATATTTTTTTCTTTCCTTTTCTTGGTTTTGTTTTTTTTTTTTATGATTAGTTACAATAAACATAAGTGAGTGAATATGTGTATTCGTTTGCCAGGCAGACAACAGTGAATTTCAATCGTACGCATATTTCCTGATAGCGCAGCAGCAAGGGATCGGGGACTGTAAAACATATATGTATGAAGATGTATAACTGTTCATGACGTTCTATGCGATGCCGGCATGTCGTGTGTCGTCAATACTTGGTCTCTTCCTCAATCAATACACGATTCTAATATGAAAGCAAACAGATGTTTTGATTAAATGAAAAAGAAAAAACGTGGGGCTATGTATACGTGTGTGTGTGATTGTGACTATTCGTTGCTTTATTTTTACATGAATGTATATAAATAAAGATGCTCAACCATTAATTTGAGGCAAAATCAACCAGCAAGATATTAAGGCATGAGTCGCAAAGTTTTATTATCAGAGATTTCTTTATTAGAGACGAAAAAATATATATATAAAATAAAATAATAATAATAATAAACTAAAAAAAGATTCGCTTTTCTTTCCTCATAATCAATTTTAGAAGTTTAGAGTTCAGTGTCATTGCTTAGTGGTCAAGGTATCTTAATAGCAAAATATATTAAATTATTAATTTAAACTAGAAATGAAATCCAGCTCTGAGAAGAATTCCATCCAATAGAAATGAATTAAATTAATTTAGAAAACTTAAATAAAATCATACGAACAGAAGGATGTACAATATGCCCTTTCTAAATTCATAAAATATTTTTTTTAACTAATCTATTTATTATAAAATGTGAAGGAGGATTGCGAACGAAGAAAATGATATCCGGATTGGGGCGAATTGTTTAATTCTCGTCATTAGTTTACTTATTTATTTATTTACTAACCATCACTAATTATCGGGAAGCAACTTGCTGTCGTTGATCTTGCGCCGAGGTTAGCTCGTCAGACGCGGGGTGTACCTCACAAGAAAATTTATTTTTGGGGACGTTTTTTGCTCTTTAGATTATGTTTCCGGTAGTAGTGATGAAATAAGAATAACAAACAAAACCTTTTCATCTATGCTAACGAATTCGCTTAGAGTTGTCTTTCGCTATTTATTTCTCAGTACTCGGCCTTACAATAAGTCTTAGAAAAATAATTATTTTATGCTGTAGAGGAAAGATCCAAGTCGAGGTGTTGGCTGCCCAATCTAGAAGAGAAAAAGGAAAATGAAAGGTATCGACTCGGACGATACTGGAAGTCTCCTAAGTTTCACTTCGTACAAGGTTGTATTTCGCCAACCTTACCGTATCTTAACCAGATAGCCCTTTTCTGATTGGCTGTCTCCCAAACCTGTCGTTTGTTATGCAATTAAATTATCTTACCGCTTGCTTCACCTAACCCTTTCGATTTCCGAAACAACAGACCCTAGGGACGACTTTGACTCCTCACAGATAATCTAATCAGCCAATGCCTATGAACTGAAAATTTAATTCAATGCATGAAAATTCAAGAGACATAGCAAAAAGAAACTAAAAATTTTGATAAGCGAATGCATAATTAATCTGACAGACAATGTGTCAAAGATGCAGAAGCTTTCGGAACCTTAATGCTGCCGTTAATATGTGCAATTAGCCTGTTAACTATTCATAAGTATATACAGTTACGTTAGAGGCAGTCACTAAATCAGTTCATGCTTAGAAATTTTCTTCCGAAAATGGAACCTACAAATAAAAGCCGTTCAAGTTTTTACAAGAAACGCGGTACATCGAAGAAAGTCCGTAATGCATACGGCACTGAGAGAACTCATTTAGAACATAATGCCTAGAAAAGCCAGATTAAGCGTTTAGAGATGACTGACTGAGCAAAAATAGGGAACTAATGCGTCCGCCTGTCAGATGAAACACAAAGGATATTCGTTACATGTGAGTTCTTTTCTCAAGCGTCGGTAAACGAATTAATCTTAAGCGACGTTCATAGGGTGGAAGACATGAGAATGTGCCACATCGTAAGTCAAAAAAAGGAGTTCTCGGAAGGCACAAAGGACGAACTGTTTTTGAAGTGATTTTATACTATCTATCTGACAAGAACAGCTTGGAGCCCAGAAAAGATCTTACAAGCGCAGCATGAATAATATGAAAATTGTTGTGAAGAGTGAGAGCAAATTGTAGAAGAAAAATTCATTCATTCAAATCGGCCCGCATATAGTGCAGATGAAATATTTACGAATTGCTTATTGTACACCGCGTCGTATGTGTGTTGCATATACAATCCATGCTGAATGAATAAGATAGAGCACAATTCAAACACAAAAGCCGCAAATACTTAACATCACTAGTATTTTTATACCCACAACTGAAGGATATTGGGTCATGTTCATGTTGTCTCAATGTTGGTATTGAAAACGGGCCAAATTGGCCAGAGTACACACAGTGAAGCGTAAACCGAATACAATTCCGTTTTCCTAAACAAAAGTTTGTGTGTTTTTTCTTCCGTCTCACAAACTATATAAGATAGAAGGTTAAAACACTCTAGCAATTATTTGCAAAATTGGAAAAAAAACGGCCATGTCCACATAAAGTTATAAGCGATTACACTTTTTTTCACTTCTCCTTATTTATGCTTATTAATCACAAGGTAAACAAGACAGAACCTTTAAAACTATTTTGCACATTCCTCAAATGAAGATATATTAGCTGCATAAGAGTTCGTTAATGCAGAAATACGTCTGATGGACACCACGACCTGGTGGATTAAATTTTCTTAACGATACCCTTTAGTGAAATAAAAGGTGAAGGATAAATTTCATCCCATTCACTTTCTTGTGACAATAAATAAAAGCAAGGACGCCAAAGATTTGAATGGTGAAGGGCGACATTCGAATCCATTCGAATATCAGTTCCTTATACTTGTTATGTACGCTCAAGATCCAACAAAACTCGTAAGTCGGCAACGCGGATCCACCTAAATTTAATCTCTGTTTGGTTAGGTAAGTAATTTTTGGGCATTCTAAAGCCGAACTGGCCAGGGCAATTTTTGCTCCCCCTCCTATATAACGAAAACTGAATATCATCTGACGATTCAGATCTAATTTTCAATGCTTCATGATTAAAATCAGATCATAATAATAATTTAAAAATAAAAAATTTCACTCAATAATTTTAAACATCTCGGCCTATTTTTTGAACCCTGTCCTATATATAGATATTCACAAAAATTAATCCTTTGCAGGGCGGAATAGTTTACAGTTTAATGTTATAATAATTTAAGATAAAAAAAATCATGGTATTAAATATGATCACTCACACCTATTTCTGCACCCTTCCCTATATAAGGATTTTTACGAACATTTCTGTGTTTTAATGCAGAAAAGTCGAAGTTTTAATATTTGATGATAAAAATTGAGTTTTTTGGGCACAACGATTCTGACAGAAAGGGTCTAATTTTTAATTTACTGTTGCATAATAGTAAGTTCATATAAATACGGTTATTGAAAATTGTGTTAGACAATGCGGTATGGTGTATTTAATAGTCGGCCTATCCCTCTTTCGCTTGTTTTACATGTATTTTGTATAATTACGGCCAGCCACTCAAGCCATGTCCGGTATATGTGCAGCCACGATGACCCAGGAAGGATTATAAATAGAATGCGATGCGTGATGTAAAAATGGAAAGATCAGACACAGTGGGAAAGGCTACGGCTGGTAAGCCTTGCAGTGCGCTTAAAGAACGATAAATCGTAAAAGTGTGCCAACGCTTTGGGTACTCGGGAGGAATTTGGGCACATTGACGTGTTGTGACTGGAAGACCGCCTTTATTAAAGATAGCTCCAATCGTAAGGTTATGTCTCCATTTTAAAAACGTCGTTATAAAAAAATAATTACAAATTTTCAAAATTTCTGATGGCAGAAATATGAACCGAGAAAATAAATGCAGCAAATTTGGACAACGTTTTTCTAATATCAACCCATATCTAGTCTATCATGAAAAACTAATCTTATATTTTTATATTATATGGAAGCCTATAATTTTATTATTGTACGATGAAAATTTGTCAGTACTGCTAATTTAGGTTAGAAGTTTGTTTTAGCAAGTTTAGACTAAGTATGCCAATCTTTTTGCACTCTATAAGAGTTATTATAAGAAGTGACCGATTATATAGTAAAATATTTAATTTCTGTACCCTATGATGAAAATGAAAAAAGATTTAATTCTTCATTCACCCTTTCGACTTCACCTATACAAGGGCTGTCATGAAAAGTACGCGTTTACGTGAAAGCAGAATATAATTTCTGACATTTTATGATGAGAATGAATTTAATCAATATCGTCTAAGGTATTTAAGGGTCGGCCTTGCCTGACTTTTATGTTTGTAATTTTTTCCTTAAGTTTTACTACGTTTTAATCAAAGTATTAATTGATCTCTATGAATATTTATTTGAAGCTTTGAAAGGCATACTAAAGAGATTACATAAAAAGAGGTTACATACATTTTATTTGTTTATTTATTTATTTAGGAGAATTAAGTTCAGACACATTTGCATTGTCAGCCGAACTATAAAAATACTAATCCTTAACTTATAGATATAATAACAACTAATATAGAATTCTTAATTAATTAAAAATACCACCAATGATGTAGCAAAAGGCTAAAAGAGGAAAAAAAAAGCGTAAAAGAGAAATATTATATCTACGAACTCTTCCTTGCAAA